CTTCCTCCTCCTACTCCTCCTCCTCCTCCTCCTCCTCCTCCTCCTCCTCCTCCTCCTCCTCCTCCTCCTCCTCCTCCTCCTCCTCCCCCCGACCCAGCAGTGCGCGATGCCGCCGCTCGAGTGCTGGAGGGCGGGGAAGAGGCTGGGGAACGTTTTGCACAAGTGCTCTTGCCTGATCCTGCCCAGCGTTTTCGCCGGCCGCCGCTGGCGCCGAGCTCCGGGCGGACCGCTGGCCGCTGACCGGACTCATGCTCGACGGCGGGCGCATGTTCACCGATGGAGCTTGCTTCGACGCGGAATTCCCCACCTTGAGGGTGGCTGGTTGGGCCGTGGTTGCATACGACGCCGATTTTTGTTTCCTGGCCTCTCTGCCCGGGGTGGTGCCCCGAAATCTTTGCCCGTCCCAAGCCGCCAGGGACGGGGAGGACTATGCTGTCCTGATGGCGTCAAGGCGCGCCGCCGGCCGCTACACCTGCATTCAGACTGTAGTGCCACTGTCGCGTGCGGGCAAAACCTGGCGAGCGCCGGCGGGCCAGGCCAGCCCCGCGCCCACCTGTGGCGCCAGGCGGCTGCTGGCGATGCGCTTGAGGACGTGACCTTTTCCAAGGTCCTCGCGCACGCGACGAGTAACGACGTCGTGGAGGGGCGAATCGCGGCTTGGCAGCGTGACGGGAATCACGCGGCCGACGCCTTAGCAAAGGCTGGGGCGGCCGAAGGCCGGCTGGCCGAAGATGACCGCGCTTTCCTTTTTGGTTGCCTCCATCTTGCGCGGCTCCTCACCCGATACACGGGGCGCATGGAGGCCGTGCTGACAGAAGCCGGCACTCGCGACCATCAAGGCCTCGAGGCCCTCCGCACTGCTGAGCTCGAGGTGGAGGGGTGGTCGGGGTCGGAGGGCGAGGGGGGGGGAACTCGAGGAGAATCGCGCGCTGATGCTGCAGGCGCTGGCTCGGCCACGGCGGCGAAAGCAGGCGCGGCCGCTCTTCCGGGCTCGGATCCCGAGGCGCGCGCTGACGCTCCGACTCAGGTTAGTCCCTGGCGCGTGCGCGGGCCCAGCCTCCTTGCTGCCCAGATTCGCGAGTGGCGATGCCCAGAGGGTGGACCCCGGGGCGCGTCCTCATCAATGCTGGTTTGTACGACTTGTTGGAGTCTCGCCACGTGCCCTGGTCGGGGCCATGGGCTCTTAGCGCCCTGTCCGCCCAGGGACGGTGAGCCACCTCCGAGAGCAAAGAATGCACGCAGCCGCGTCGGCCGTGGGATGCACCCCCACTGGGCCTGGGATGCGGCCATCGACGAGGCATGCAGCCCGTCGGGGGCGGCACGGGCGTCCTGGGCCAGCCATTTCGGATTGGAAGGCGCCGCAGGGGGCCCCGTGGCCCGCACCGCCGAGCCTCCGCTAGGCCCTCCTGTTCGGTGGGGCGCGCCATGCCCAAGAGTGACACTGAGCAATGCCTTACTGGCATTCGGATTTCGCACGCGCGGCCAGGCTGATAAGCTTGGCCGCGAAGCGCAGCGGCTGGCCGCGGAGGGGGCCAGCCGGCTCGCAGCCACGAGTGCCATCAAGGAGGGATAGTTGTTGTGGACCTCCCTCTTCTCCTCCTAGTTCTGGAGTCGCGCACCTCCTCCTCCCCCTCCTCCCTCCTCCTCCTCCTCCTCCTCCTCCTCCTCCTCCTCCTCCTCCTCCTCCTCCCTCCTCCTTCTCCTCCTCCTCCTCCCCCTGCCCCTCCCCCTCCTCCTCCTCCTCCTCCTCCTCCTCCTCCGCCTCCTCCTCCTCCTTTCTTCGATCCGGGGGCAGGCATCAGAAGAGGCACTTTGCTCTCTCTGTGCGCGGGTCCAGGACTCCTTGGCCGCCGCCCTGCGGGGGCAGCCTGACGCACTCGGGCCCTCCTCCGCTGTCCCCCGGGCCCTGGAATGGCGCCGGCACGCCCTCGTCGTTGTCGTCGTCGTCGTCGTCGTCGTCGTCGTCGTCGTCGTCGTCCTGGCCTGCCTACAGGCCCAGACGAGAATGTTCTAAGAAACCTCTGTGGCTTGCACGGAGAGTTATTAGAACAGTTCTGGCTGGGACTGTCTTGCTGCAGCACATCGGCTTGACATTCCAGGCACGGTGCTTTTGTTATCAGGGCGCTCGCTGTTCTAAGAACAAGTCGTGGTAGGCCTATAGGAATGCCGGGACGGTGGGCCCCTGCGCAAGCCACCGAGTGCACTTATACCCCTCGGTCGTTTAGAGTATGTATTCCCCAGATTCTAATCGGTTTTATTCACATTCCTACTTCAAGTGTCCAGCGGTTTTCCCTCTTTCCTTCTCTACGAGGGGCGGGCGGAGATCCAATGTTGTTCCGCCGCCTTCCTACTTCACGATTTTACCCACTTCTTGCGACCAGCTGGCACGAGGGTTGAGTCGGAGGAGGGCGGCAAGGGTCGCCTTTTTGACCCTCCAGGTGCCCCCTCGTCGCGACGGCTGGACGCAGCTCGGAAAATTTGTGCTTTTGGGCCCAGGGAGAGGTCAGGGGACCAATTTTGAGCAGATTTGGGCCATCGTTGCCTTACCGCCGTTCTCTCACGCGGCTCTCTTCCGAGACAGAGCATCATCAGCTCTGGAAGGGTACCCGGTACCTTCAGGCTCGTCATGATTGGGCTCTCTGCCCTGGAACGCTCTCCGCCCAGGGGATCTTCATGGGTCCATCTGGTTCGTCGAAGGGGCTCGTGTTCTCGACTCACATCCTCGTGGCCATATCTCGATTGGCTGCGGCGCAGCTGGCGGCGCGTCCACGGCGCCTGGTTGCGACGCACGCCGCCGGCGCAACACGAGAGCTCGATCCGCGCTGCTCGCAGAGCCCGCACCGAGTGCCACCGGCCAGGACAGGGCCGCCTACGATCAGCCTACGGATCGAATGGCATTGCCATTCGATCCGTAGGCTGGGGACGCGATTCCGATGCGATTCGATTCGGCTCGATTCGCCAGCACCGGTCGGGGCCAGCTGGAGCCGGGCGCGGCGATTCGATACCGATCCGATCCGGGACGATTCGCTGGCGATTCGGTCCGCTCGCGATGCGATCCGATCCAGCGCTATGGTGACAACACCCAGCGGTGAGTCTCGGGCGATTTGGTGTCACCACCCTGTTTCGGGACTCGTGTGGTTTTTGTTTAGGCTGTCCCAGACGCTGGTGACGTCTAGGAGTCACAACACCTGGCGGCGACCCCGCGTTTTCACACCCGGCGGTGACTTCACCACCTGAGATCTCACCGCCTGGTTTCAAGCAAGGAAAAACCACGCGGACCGGACAATTGGCGTTTACCAAACGGCCTTGGGTGTTTACTGAACAGCCCTTCCCTGTTTGATTCCTTCTCTGGGCGCGTTTGCTACACGGCTTCGCGCGCCGGGGGGTGCTATTTTGTTGTCGGGGTGGGTTCTCTGCCCTCGATGGCTGGGGGGGGGGGGGCTCCCACGACGAGCCCGCACCGACTGCCGCCGGCCAGGGCCCGCTGTGGTGGTGCACCTTCCTGGTCTTCGCGGAGGCCACCGGCATCTGCCTGCGGGAGCTCCGCGGCCCACCCGCGGGGGTGCCGCGGGCGGGCCTGGCGGCGGGCCTGTGGTTCGGGCTGCTGGCCGCGGCGGCCCTGGCGGCGAACTGGGCCCGGTGCAAGAGGCCAGGAGTGGGGGCGGGAGGCGAGGAGCAGAGGTTCCAGCAGTGGCGCAGCGTCCTGGCTCGCCGATAGCCGTGCCAGGCAGTGTTCTAGGAACCTTTTGTGGCTTCCACGACGTGTTCTTAGAACATGCCTGGCGGAGCCAGTCTTGTTTTATCACATCGGGTTTATGTTCTAAGGCTATTGTTTTTTGTTCTTAGAACAGTTTGGGTTCTAAGATCATTTCGTGGTAGGACTATAGGAATGCCAGGACGGTCGGTCCCTGCTCAAAAGGTCGGGGTCGGCAAAGAGGGGGGTTTATGATTAGGGGGAATATCTATCATGGCGTTGGCCATGATCTTTCCTCTGACTTCATGGCGCCTCTTCTTCTTTCATTGCGTCCCCAGCCCCCCCTCCCTGGGCCGCGCACGTGCCGCCAGTCTTGATTTGCACCTCCCCCTCTTTGACGCCCCCCTCTTGGCCGTCCCCGAAGAGGAAGTTGCTCGGATTTTGGGCTAGGTCGGGCATGTCCTCCTACAGGATTTCAAACAATGATTAAAAAACAGTGGAAAATCGCCCCCTAAGGATTTTTGACTATTTTTAAATATTTCTGATGAGTAGGAACATGCCCGACTTAAATTTTGGGCGCTCGGTAGCGGGGGGGAGGCGATGATGAGGGTCATGAGGCAGACCAGGAAGTCCAGCCGGACAAGTGTGTCGGTCGAGCGGAGAAACCCAGCGGGGTGGGGACAGGACATTTATCTCGAGACGAGGAGCTTCTCTCGCGCTCGCGGTTGAATAGGGGATGCCTGTTCTCGAAGGTTTTGGTTTAACGTTTGGGAGCGGTGTGTCCTCTCGTGCCTCGGACTTACGGTGGTTGCAGGTGCTCAGGGGTTGCCCGGGGGTCGGAGGATGTACTTAGCATCTGCTCTCGCTGCGCTGGTGTTCTCTGGAGGCGGTGTTTCATCTGGGTCTGCGGCTGCTCGGCTGTCCCGCGCAGAAGTTCGCAAGAGTAGGGCGAGCGCGTCCTGTGAGTTCCGCTTCCCGGCTATTATCGTTGCTCTCGTGTGCTTCCCTGCGTCGTATCGGGTTCCTCTGCAGACTTGTTCTTTTCCGTATGCCGTCGATCTGTGGTGGTTGCAGGTGGCCTGCGTTTCTTTGGCGGTCGGGGGGTGTACTTCGCTCCTGCTTGTGTCGCGCAGTGACCCACTGGAGGCGGCGCCTCATCGGGCTGTCTTGGTTGCCCTCTGGGTCGGGCGGCTCCGAGGCGAGGATTCATCCATAACCGCCGCCTGGGGATTCGATCCTCGCGGACCTCTGCAGGCGGTGGATGTGGACATATTCGGGCCCTGGGGGGCCAAAACAAGATCCATGTCCCTCGCCCGCGGGGTCCCCAAAAACGTCGGCTTTCCCGGGCGGTGGATGTGCGTGAGTCCCCGCCCCGCAGCAGCAGCCTCAACGTTTTTGCCCTTCGCCACTCGTGTGAGGGCGGCGGCGCCCTCGGGGCTGCCGGGGCCCCTGGCCGCGCGGCGGGGGCGCGCGCCCCGCAAGGCCGGGGCGCGCGGAGGCGCCGGCCTGGCCGCGCCTGCACTGCTTGATTTTGCTGTTGTTTTCCCTCCTCCTCCCCTCCCCTCCCCTGCTGCTGCCCTCCTCTTCCTTTAGCCGCGGGGCGACCTTCTCGAGTTGGTAAAAAAAAAAGTGTGTGAGTGAGGCGCGGTCGCGCGCGTGTGACCTGCCGGATCCAGGCAGGCCCAGCTCGGGAGCGCCGCGGGCGGGAGCGCGCGCGGGCGCCTGCCGCCCGAGCTCTCCACATGGGCGGGGCAGCGGCCCGCGCCGGGCTGCCCCCTTGGGAGGGCGAGCTGCGGGAGGGCGGCCGCGCTTGGCAGGGCCGCCTGCGACGAAGTCGGGCGCGTCCCTCTACACGAGGAACATTGACAAATGGTCCCCCAAGAAAGTCTGGGGACGATATCTGTCAGAATCTATGTTTGAATACTTCTGGGGTACTTTTATAATTCTTCATCCACAATCCCCCTGTAGGGGGACATGCCCGACCTAAGCCTACGATCCGATTCCATGCGATTCGACTCGCGGGCTGGGGCCGCGTTTCCAAGTCGATGCGGTCTGGTTCTGTTCACCGGCAGCGACCACGGCCAGCCGGAAGCGGGGCGCGGCGATGCGCCTCCGATTCGAGTCGAGACGATTCGTGGGCGGTCCGACCCGCCGCCGATCCGACCCAGTGTCGCGATTTCTATCTAGCTCGGGCCCGCCTGGCCGTCTCGCGCAAACAATCGAGCGGGCGATTTGCGTGTGGATCTTCTAGTTGGCGCGATCGGTTTTCCTATGTCTGGTCCGAACTCCGCCCAGCTGACTCTCTGGGTCCGATTCTTTCTCTCAATGCGATAGGAGGGGGAGGGGGAAAAAGGCGGGGGGCGAGGATAGAGGTGGGCGGCGGAAGAGGAGGAGAACGAGAACGAGGAGGAGGAGGAGGAGGAGGAGGAGGAGGAGGAGGAGGAGGAGGAGGAGGAGGAGGAGGAGGGGGGGGACAGAGGGGTTTTCCTCCCCGTGCTGGTTGGGGCCTGCGGCCCAAAGCTCCCGAAGCGGGGCCACAGCAAAGCCCCAAGAGAGGGTACACCGACAGGAGCGCGCGCCATCCGAGACCCGGGAGGGATCTCGCAGGGAGCACGCCACGTCCCCGCGGGGACAGCCCCAGCCTCAGGCGGTCCGACGACCAGGCGCCCGACCAAACACGCCGCGAGCAGGCGAACGCCCCCAGGTCCCAGACGAGACCCAGGAAGAGTCCAGGGCCCGAGAGGCCCGAGAGGACGCGGGAGCCGAGCGCGGCTCGAAGACAGCAGCGAGGCCCCCATACGGCCACGCTGAGGCGGGCTCCAAGCCTTGGTTTGGGGCCGAAAGGATCGAGATCCTTTAGAGCCAGCCAGTCTCAGCAGCCGAGAGAAAACGGGCACTCTGTGCTTGCCGCGTGCTCATTTGGGACGCCATCCATCTTCAAGATAGCGTCGCGAACTTGTGCGCCGCCGTCCCGGAGACCTTCTGCAACTCCTCCTAGCCGTCGTCGACAAAGGGCGAGTTGTTCACCACGGCAGCCTGGCCGAGCAGCATATTGCGTTGCTGCATTTGTCCTTCGGTGGAGCTCCCTATGGGGCCACGAAACATGTGAGAACGTGTGAGGGGTGTGCCGAAATGGGTGCGGCGGGCGCATGCGGGCGCTTCCTTTGAGCCTTCAGTGGGGCTCGCCATGGGGGCCACGAAACGTGCGGGGGGTGTGCCGACATGGTTGGGCGGTCGCATGCGAGCCCTGCCTTTTGTGCCTTCGGTGGAGCTCCCCATAGCCCATGGGGCTACGAAACGTGTGAGGGGTGTGCCGACATGATTGACTGGTGACATGCGAGCGCAGCCACTTTGATGATGATGATGATGCTCTTGATGATGATGATGATGATTACATGATGGCGATGCTGATGATGGTGATCATGATGATGATGATGATGATGATGATGATGATGATGATGGTGGTGATGATGATGATGATGATGATGATGATGATGAGTATGATTATGAATATGAGTAGGAGTAGGAGTAGGAGTATGAGTCAAGCTAGCCAGCTCGAGCGAGTTAAGCATGGCATGCCCAGTCCCACCCGCCCTCCCACAACATAAGAAGCAAAGCTGGCACAACTGGGGGCCGAAGTCACACCGGCCAGCCGGTTTGGTACAGCTGATGCGGCCGCGATGGCGGTTGCCGACGGGAACTGGCGAGCGCGTGTTGAATGCCGCGCACGCATTGCCAGACGAGTCGAGAATGGCCCGGTACACCGCAGGAAGCCAGAGGTGGCCGTGTCGAGAACGGCCCGGTAAGCCGGGTCCCATTCCTGCCATGCATTTTGCGACGTGGGCGACAGGACGTCCATGCGACGGTGCCAATGACGGCGACGACTCTAGAAGGATTTGAGCATGCGCTCGCGGCGACGCGCGCGCATGTCGCCCGCGTGGTATTTTTTGCACAGGATTCGCGGCCTGGGTGCATGACAGAGCATCGCGAGTGCACCGCGCGATGACGTGAAATCGCTGGATTTGACGAATTCTTAAGATTCCTATGGTTTTCCTATGATTTCAGCAAGAGAGCCCGGGCAGGAAATTTGTAGAATTTTTGTGAAAAAGCATTGGGTTTTTGATGTTTGTATGTTGAAATGCTTGCAAACACACGGTGTTCGGTAGGATTCTGACATGAACGCGCGCGTGTGCTCTTTGTGGTATTTTTTGCAATGGATTATCGCCGTGGACGACAGGACGTCCATGTCGAGAGGAAAAAATAAGAAACATGTTGATTTTGTATTGTTTTTTACAGGTTAGGATGGGACCACCCGGATGTGGCCCCTATCTGCCGGCCTGAGGGGGGAGTGGGAGTATATTCGAATAAGGAATAAGGATATGAGTATGGTGATGATCATGTTGTTGCTGATGATGGTGATGATGCTGACTATGACGATGACGATGATGATGATGATGATGATGACGATGATGATGATGCTGTTGATGATGATGATGATGATGCTGATGCTGATGCGGAGGATCATGGTAATAACGCTGTTGCTGCTGACGCTGCTGCTGCTGCTGCTGAAGATGATAGTGACGATGATGGTCATGGCGATGATGGTTGTGGTGATGTGGGTGATGATGACGATGACGAGGGTGATGATAGCGATGGTGATGGTGATGATGAGGATGATGATGATGATGACGACGATACGGACGTGCGGAGGGCAGATGCAGGGATGGGATGAGCGAGGAGGGGGAAGGAAGGAAGGAATGCGGGGCGCTGTCTCTTCAAAAGCAAGGACTCAACACCACTTGATGGTTGGAAACAACTGTGAACTTGGTGTGGCCGATGCTCTTTCGCCGAGGATCACGGGGCAAGCTCTGGATGAACCACTTCCTCGACTGAACCATAGCTCCGCTGTGTATCGAGATAGTGGGGCCTCAAGGGGAGAGGGGATCGGAGAGAC